TGGGAGACTCCGCGTGTCGTTCGGTCGCCAGCGCGCGGGGTGCCGCGAGGGCGGCGCTGGCTGCTGCGCCGCTGTGCGATGGCTCCGAGAGCAGGTGCGCGTTTTGCCTGCCTCTTCGGGGATGCAGATGCACGGAGCTGGGCCGGCTCAGGTGGCGGATGTCCGACGCACGTGCGCAGCGCTTCAGACCCGACAGCAGGGCGGGGCCAGCCCTCAGGCGAACTGGGGGGGTCGCCAACATTTGGAAGAATTACACGCGGAACAAAATAACAGGCGCGTGTTTCTAAAGAGCAGCCCTGGATGCCTGCAGCTCCACCTTGCTCCCAGACCTTCGGTTCAGTAAGGGGAGAAAGATCTCGGAGGGAAGATCGCTAGAGTCGCGACTCCGGCCTTTCCAGCTCTCAAGAGGGCTTATGACAAGGGCAACGTCATCCTAACAGGTGAACCCCTACTCCTAGATCGTCACTGGTTTGTTACACCTTCCTTCTGTCTTCCAACCACGCTTTTTATAAATCTCAAGCACCCTAGATTTTGTCCGTGGCGTTTAAGATTTCATCAAGAATATGAAACGGGTGAAACAATCAATACAATTTTTTAAAATTGTTTTATTGTTCATTTCAAAAGTCAAATAAGTACATGCAAGCGTTGGCAATGCGTAGGGGGTGCATGGCACCGTCAACACTGACAGAGGCACCTGTGGGCGGTCGCCACTTGCCACCCCCCACCTTGCTGCCGACACTGCCAGTCGGCAATCGCTGCTGGCCGCTGTCGACTACCAGTTGGCACTTGCCACGCACCCCTCCACCAACAGCGTTGCGGCTGCCTGCGGGAGCTCCCCGCTTACCACCGGCAAACTCACGCAGCTGACAGCACTACCACCACCTGCGGGAGCTTGCCATGCCCCCCCAGGCACCGGGGGCAGGCAGCGTTCATGCACATAAAAGTTCATTTTAGACATCTTATTTTCTTCTATATTGGAAGTGGTAGGAGCATCGAGGTACACAGTTTGCCTTGGGCCCCAATTACCCTTGGACCGGCCCTGCCCAAAAGGAAATAGGCTGCAAGACAAATCACCTTATAAATAGGTACATCAGAGATGACCCTGGTGGCTCAAAATGCCACGAAAGAAACGTAAATCGTGGAGGAAGAAGAAGAGAGCAGCCTCTTTTTCCAAAGGGCTGCAGTTGGATTTTCATGCTTACCTCAACAACTTGTGATCTGGGGAAATGCATCCAGCTAGAAAAAAAAGAGAAATCCCACATTGGAAAGTTGGGGTTGTTGTATTACAAAGTGCTTCACTTGAGTGCGTATTTGCCCACATAAAAATCTTAGACCCCCGGTCTCAAACTGCTCCACCCAGAACCCTATTTAATCCACATACAACCCAGGGTTTTCATAGGTACAATAAATACTTGTTTTAGTCTCATTTCAATTCAAGTTGAGAACTGCAATATGTGACATGTACGATTGAGAGGCTAACTTTATATTGCTATCACAGGAAAGCTACTGGAAATCAAATTCAAAACAGGGTGAAGCAGATGTAACATGCTGCATACTAATTTCCTTATCACCAAAAAGCCAGCAGGTGTCTTAATTAAGAAATATCCAGAGTTCCTCCACCAATTTTGAGAGAGGCATGAGGAATTAATTCTTCTGTTACTTCTAGATGGTCTTTTCTTAACATTATCATATCCAAATAATTCTATTAAGTTTGTCTTCAAATTGCTATTGCAGGGATTATTCCTTCTAACAGACACAATATCTCTTCTCGCAGCTAAATAAGCTACGCAGTAGTAATAAGTGATGAATCATGAAGGCAGAAACACTTAAAATAGGATTTTAAAAGCAGTAAAAATCCAAAGGTTTATGGAGATGAGAAAGTTATGTTTACTTCATCCCCAACCATTGCAACAAAAAAAGGTTTTAAATAGACCCATTAGACAAATCACAATGCAGAAATTAAACCTGCTCAGATGCAAAGCCTGGAATCTGTTCTATCGAGGGCGGTACAGAAAGGGGACAATTGTTCTTGTAAGGAAATTGCTTGAAAGTTAAATTCCTTGTTTCTGGCTCATCCACTCATCTATCTCAGTTTAGGCTTTTATATAATATTTATCACCATGGTATCTATAGGCCTTCTGAGAAATGAACTGATCCTGCTACCCCAAGCTTGACTACTGAGGCTGTGTGCAAGCAAGGAGTGAGAGAAAAACTCACTGTACAACATACAGGTAGATGCTGTAGCTACAACACAACACTGACTCCAGCCAATTCATTACAAGCAGATGTCTGGTGTAAGGAGGAGGTAGGACCACTGCATCTACATATCCTTATATCCAGTAGTCTTGTAATAGTTCCAGGACTTCTTCCCCATGATTCTTTTCGGGATCCTGACAATCTCTAACTCCACAGTGTGGTGGGCCCTATACTGAAATGTCAACCTGTGTAAACTTAAGCAACAAATCCTACACTATTATGCTCAGGTGGACCCTAAAACAGCTGAAAATCCCTCTCCATGGATGCAGGGGTTTACTTGTGTGCATTACACTGTGGGAGTTCTTTGCACATTGTAGATCTTCTGTCATAGCTGGGCAATATGCACTGGATTTTACAGAAATGACTGAACAAGTTTTTTTGTTCATATAACCCTATTTTGTAATTTCCCATGAGCACTCTTCATAATTCTAAACATTCTGAATGCAAAGAATAGAAGAAACCGTTCTTGGCATTGCACACTCAACATATTCTTCAAGATATAAATGGAGTGCAAACAGCTGAGTGATAAAGTAAGAACAAAAAGTGATTTTACCCAATACTTATCTGGAAAAATCGAGGTATAAAAAGAGCTGAATAATTTGGCAATTTCATATTGACTTTTATCCCCTGCCATCTTGGAAATATGCTTCCTTATAAAGAGTGCCTATTGTATTAACTCTTGTAGAGTTAATACCGGTAATACTGTAATCTCCTATGCAGAATCAAATGAATGTCAAGTTCTACGAATCCAAAAGTACAATGAGAAGTGTAAGAATCTGTGAAGTCCATTCCATCCAGTTGGGAGGCTTGGCACCTGGAAAGATTGAGCCATCAGTTTGGGTCTGGGAATATGACCTACTGACTGTTTCTGATAGCATATATTAAATTAAATTCTGTAAAGTATTCCAGAAGGAGGCAATTTTAAAGGTTTAACTTGGTATACATTTATTTGTAGAATAATTTATTATGCATCCATTGCCATGGCTCCAGTACACAATATATACCTTAAATTATCTGCTAATATGGCTGTCGTTGACTGGTTGTGGAACTAATTTAACCTCACTGAGACAGAAGGTAAAAGTCCATTCTTTGGATGTCCTATAAGATGCTAAAAGTGATTTCCAAGAAACCAGAGCTCATTTCTATTTTATTTTACTTTTTGTACACTGTGTCTGCTGCAACAGCTATTTATGGATGACTGTAATTTATACGTATACGAAACTTGGAAACATTCAGATAATGTAATCAGACTCTATTTTGAAGTTCAAGAGAACATAAGACATAGATTTTATGTCAACAAGAGTCATCAAAGGCTAACTTCGGACCTCATGTCACTAAATGCAAATTCATTAAATGAGTGTAGATGGACTTATCTGAGATCTGAATTTGGCACAAAGAACTAAATTTTATCCAAATGGAGCCAAAATAATTTCCCTCCACAGTCAATAATAAATAAGTCCAATTAACTTAATGTAAGGCTTTCAGGGAGGAGTAGGAGTGTAGGAGTCGGCAGCCCTCCCTGAAAAATAGAGCGGGATTATGGCCCAGTGGTCTGGCAAGCGCCATTCAGCCAGAAGGAGTGAGTGAAATTACTCCTTGCTTACAAATCCTTATCTTTACAGTTATTAGCTATGATAATAAACACCCCCAAGTCGCTAGTAACTCTAGGGAGCTACGAGGCTGTGCTGGGCAGATTGCTCATTGTTTTTCAGTGAAGTAAGAGCCAAATGCTTAATTACAGGTATCTAAATTAAATAGTTATAGTTTTCAGTCACTTTCATCTGCAGTGCAGAAATGAGGCCCATTAAACCTATACGCCCTAGCATACCCTGTGCCGCTTTGAAGCAAACCCAGGCCATTCAGATCACAGTTGAACACAGACGACTCAGACCTGTAATTTCCTAGGACTGAATCTTTGTAATGAAGATAAGGAAGGCTATACACCATATGCTAGAGATTATGCTCTTTTTCATCCCTCATTTATAGTCTAATATGGGTGTAACGAGAAGATGTACCACGCTCCTTCCTCCCCCAAGCAGGTAAGAAACTCACAGCTCTAACATAAGATTACAAAAGCTACTCTTGCCACTACAAGAAAGTCCAGTTTACAACCAGATGAAAAAAAAAGCATCCACATACATTTAAAATTTCATGCTCAGATAGTCATTTCAGAAGCCTTGGCACCCAAGTAGTTGTATAGAAGTCAGCCTGGCAATCCTAAAAGCATGAAAGGACTCACTTCCCATAAGCAAGACCACCCATCTCCATTAAACTGTTAAAAAGTCTGATACCTACAAAATAAAACCTTGTTCTGTCTCCATAAATATAAACTCCTCCGCCTTCCTGACACAAGCAGGGGTAATGTCCCTGTAGCAGAAGGGGTCAAACATAGGGGTCAGAAAGTCCCATTCCAGCTGGAATCACGTTATGCAGCAACAGGGGTGGAGCGTCGGGATCAGACGTCCCACAACAGTTGGACTTGGACAGACGGACTCCAACCGTCAGCAGAAAGCTGGGCTCTTGACATTCTGCCCCAAGGACGGATCTGATTAGCTGGAAGGATATTAGACAATAAATGGGCCGAGAGGAAGTTCTAAGGTTCCTGTTTCTACATGGGAACAGCAGCATGGGTTATGTTCTCCTGGCAAGAAGCAGTAGACCCTCTTCTCTGATGGCTGGCATGAGGTCCTTCCCAACTGGATGCGATTCTAGGGGAAAGATAATGCCATTGACAAGGAATGCCTGTATCTCTTGTGTAGAGATCGCCAGGTTCAGTAAACACAGACATACATGAATAAAAAGAACTAAAACAAGTTTCATTATGGAGCTGCATGCAAGCTTCTGCAGATCCTTTGGCTCTAACGAGAAAGTTTAATTGAGAGATCATCTCTCAATTCCCAGCTTCTGTAGCCTAAGTAAGGGCTTGACTCTTAAGTTTTAAGTTCTGTCACAACATAGAGGGAGAAAGGTCACTGATGTGGAGGGAAGAGTATCTCCCTAAAGGAAACATGAAGAGCAAAAGGGTGAAATGACAGGCAAGTCAAGGGATCAAAGAGAAACATGGGGTTTCCAGACACAAGCCATGCAGATAAAAAAAAATCCTCAAAGGGAGGTGAGAATTTGTCATTATTGTCAGAACTCATATAGAAAGCAATTTTTCTGTGGCAAAAATAATTAATGGGATACAGGTTTCAAAGAAACACCAGCCCAGGCAACACCTCAGCTTGCAGCATCTTCCCAGTGACATCACCAGTATCAGCCTACAATTCAGTAGACTAAATATGACAAGGTCTTTTAATCTTCTCTCATAAAATAGGTTCACCAGTCCCTGCCATTCTAGTAATCCTTCTCTGTTCCTGCTCCAATCTGAATTCATCTTTCTTCAGCAAGCATGATCAGAATTTTACATCATGTTCTAGATGATGTCTCACTGGTGCCTTGTTCAGCAGCTTTAATACTTTCCTTTATATCTACTGCACCAAGTCATACATCCTAAGACATCATTTGTCTTTTTCACAGCCATATCACATTGGTTGCTGACATCCCCCAATCTAATTTTGCCTGAATATGCCAGCATATGATATTCTGATCCTTTTCTGTATTGAGAATGTTTCACCACCTTGTAACATTAACAAACATCATTAGCAGACTGCTGATATTTGTACCAAAGTGATTATTCTTACCTACTGTATGGGTAAAGAGAATGCCCTGTTGGGTAAACTGATTTTGGGGTTTACAAAAAGAAGAAAATGGAGCCTAGTGTAAAAGGCAAATAATTAATTTCACTGGAAAAAACTATTTAGCACGAGTCCCATTCGGAACATAATCTAGGAGATCCTGCCTCTTACACATCAGGACACACCCTCACCAGATGCACGCAGAGGAAACAAATGACTGTGAAGATTCACATCTGCACAATCACTGTTTCTGCATCTCTGATCTAGCAAGATCTGGACATTATTCAAATAACGCGTGTCTCGGGTTTCCAGCAGAGGACACAGGGGAGGCAGACATCCCAGTGCCCCACCCGTCCCGGCAGGAGGCCACCTCACCCTGATGGACAGTGAGGCTTTCCCCAGCCTCCTACTGTCATAAATACATCCTCCATCAGATCGATAGCTGAGCAGGCAGCCTCTTTGTTCCTAATTGTCAGGTCACGTTCCCCCTGCAGCTGTATTCCAGTTGATAAATTGGAGAGGGTTCAGCAGAACGATGAAAACACTCGAAAAGCTTGCGAAGAACCCACATAAAACACTGGAAAACCTTGCGAATAACCCAAGAGCTTGTCAGAGGGCTCAGGGGTGCCTTGATCCCGGTTTACAACTGCCAAGGCCTGCCTAAAACTTTGATCATGGGCTTTTTGATGGAGCAGACAAGGACAAAGCGGATCCAACGGCTGGAGGCTAAAGCTTGGCAACTTTGGGCTAGAAACAAGGGGTGTTGGTGAGGGTGGCTGTGGGTCAGCGTGGCAAAGGGGGGCGGTGGTGCTCCCTCGCAGGCAGTTTTTAGCCCCTTCTTCAATTTTTCTAAGACATGTGCAAGGCTCCCGGCTGGAAGCAGAAACTCCTGGGGTGCATGGAGCACCTTGGGGGACAGGTCAGGGATAACAAAGTGGCTTCATTCCCGTGACTCATGGGGTGAGGCTGCCCTCCAGCCTCGCTCCCGCCCTAAACACACTGAGAGCCCTTGTCCTGCCCTCACCTGGGGCAGCAGGTGATGAGGCCACGCCCCCAGCCCCGCCCAGGGCGGGAACAATGGCAAGAACACGCCCTCTCCGCTGACGTCAGTGGTGCCGTCTCACTTCCTGCTGCCCCTCCTCCGCCGCGGTACTTGGTACATCCCGGATTCCTTTAGACGCCGCCTCCCGCTTCTCCGCCGCGGTGGTAGGGTCCGGTAGGGTCCACTCGCATGCGGTTCCTCCTCCCCGCAGCAGTGGTACAGCCCGGGATCGCCCGGGAGGAGTGAGGCGCCGTCTCGGCCTCCCCCCCGCGAGCCGGCGCAGTGGTACGACCCGGTATCGCTCGGCAGCCCCCGCCGCCGCCGCCTTAGTCGGAGCCAGCTGCCGCCGCTGCCGCCCTCGTTCTGGTGTCCCTGGGCGCCCGCTCCCTCGCTCCCGGGGCTAGTGTATGAGCGATTCGTCACCCTGAGCCCGCCATGTCCACGCCGGCCCGGAGGCGCCTCATGCGGGACTTCAAGAGGTAACGAGGCCGGCGGCGGAGGGAGGCCGGGAGAGGAGGGGGCCGGCCAACATGGCGGCAGGAGCGGCGGCCCTGCGCCGATTGCGTAGCGCTAGGCCACGCCGCTTGCGCAGGGAGGGGGGCCGGGCTTACGCTGACTGCTGGGGGTGACTCCTGGGGGCTACGCCAACTGCGGCCCGCCCGGGGGGCGGAACTTGGCCACGCTGACACGCCCATGCCCGCAGGCTGCAGGAGGACCCCCCGGCCGGCGGAAGCGGCGCCCCCTCCGAGAACAACATCATGGTGTGGAACGCCGTCATCTTCGGGTGAGTGCGCATGCGCGGGCGAGCGCCCCCTGCGGGCGGGGCGGGCGGAGGTGCACCCCTGCGCTGCTCACCCAGCCTCTGTGCTCACCCCTTCCCTCTTCTCTTCCAGGCCCGAGGGGACTCCCTTTGAGGATGGTAAGTGCCGCTAACCGCCAAGCTACTGGGGTTTTGTTTGGTTTTGTTTTTGGAGGGTTGGGGTTTTTTTGTTCTTTTTCCCAGTGTGACCTGCTTCTGGGTCCCTGCAACAGGTGTCAGCTTAGGACCTCCTCAGCCCTGGGAAGCACAACCACTGCCCACCTCCCTGCCAAAACTTCTGTCCTTAAAACTGCTCTGTGGTGCTACATCCCCGACCCCTGCAAACCTTCCTTCCTTATTCCCCTCCCTCCTCCCAAGTCTGACTTCCTAAATGTGGAACTGGGCAGTGAAACAGTAGCACACAAACAAATGCAAAGCGCTGCCTGGATGAAGGCCAGTCATTACTTGGCCACAAGTGTCTCATGTTTCATCGAGCCAGATCAACTTGAAGATCTGTTGTCATGTCTGTCATCAACCTGTGTTAGCTGGGCTCTTTGTTTTGGTTGGGGGGGGGGGGGGGGGGTTGGTTTTTTAATACTTAAAACATACATGGTCAATCCAGCGTGCCCTTGTTTAACATCGATTTTTTTCATCCTGCTCTCCATTTTCTGAATCTTTCTGTCTGTTGGTGAAACTGTTTAATTCTGAGTGGGGTTTTTTTTGTCCTACTCTATGTCCTGAAAGTGACTGTGGTACACCATGAAGTGTTTTAAAGTTAGCTTGATTCTGTAGTCAGTTCATCCAGTTAAAATATAACCTGCTCTTGAAGTTCCTGGACAGGAGCTACACTGGTTTGTGGGGGGGTTCCTTACCTTAGTCTAGTTGTAGCTACTTTCAGTTTTTAAAACTGAAAGTAGCTACGCTCCTCCTTTTTAAAGAAATAACTTCCCATGATACATTTGTCCCTAACTTTGTCATTGTTTGTAGCTTTGCTCACTATTTTCTCTGAAGTTTGCACTTCTGATGCCGTATGAAGGATCCAGTATCTGTCCTGAACTTGCTAGACCTAAGCAAATAAACAACTAGAAATAGTTATTCTGTAAAGGTGTCAGTATAGGACTACAATTAGTGTTGAGTCTTATGCTTTCATCATGAATTGCATGGTAAGACTCCCTAGCTCTAAAACTGTTTCTTCCTCTGAGGGAGCAACTATTTGGCTTGAGGGCTATGCTTTCCCTTTTAAAGTACCTCAGACCCAAGAACACTCTAGTTAGTTGCTTTTTTTTGTCCTTAGTTAGCCACAAAACTACACGACTACCTCCAGCTCTCCTGCTTAGTGGCTGGTCTCTTCTCTCTTTTTTTTTTCCTGCAGTGCCTGGTGCTTGTGGCTCTTTCCTTTGTTTGTGGGATTGTTTGAGGTCAGAAGTTCTCTTTGGTCTCTTGGGCCTTAATATACTAGTATAAACAGGTCTGGGTGATGAGATGGGTCTTGTCTTTATGGTGCATAGCCATCTCAGAAATGGATCACGGCTTGGAGGAAGAGAAACTGGCTCCTGTGAATTAATGGTATCAATCTTGAGAGTTGTTATTTTTTTCTCTCTCATCTTGTAGTTCAGTGTTGGGGTTACTGAGATGTTTAGTAACAAAGGATTTTGGCAAGAAGATCTACCACCTTCAGTATATCTGTGGAAGACCAGCTTTGAAAGTGCTGGTATATTTAATGCTATCTAGGGCTTTTAAGTATTGATTTCTCTTCCCTGCCCCCCCCCCTTCCCTCCCCTCATGCCTTGATCTTAAATCCCTAAGGTTCTAGGCATTCAAGCCTTAATCAGCTTGAATCCAAGGCTACGTGCACTCCTGGTAGCTGGAGTATATTTCCTGTGTGCTTTAGCAGTAGGTTATTCCTCTTGTCTGTTGGGTTGTTCCTCAGCTAACATTCTCGGACAGGTGTTCTGGTGCAGGTTGTGTACTGGGTTTCTTAATACCCAAGGCAGGAAAAGTGAGCAGGGCATAAAATTGCTTGTTTGGGGTTTTTTTGTTTGTTTGTTCGCTTTTACAGTACAGCTTTTTTTATCTTGCTGCCTAGAATTGTATGTGTTGGCATCTGGAGATGTCTGCCCCACTTGAATAGTTTGCTGGTGCCTTTTACCTTGTGCTCTGTGCCTCACTCTAAAGTTAGAGGGCTAGGAACGTAGCTCAGGAGTCTCCTGCCAGTCCTGTTGTGTCTGGTCCCCTGCATTTGTAGATTCTCCTTAAGTAAAGGAATTTCCCAAATTGCTCCTTTCACTTGGTTGCCTACAAGCAAAGGAACAAAATTTGAGATGCCAAAAGCAGCCTGTGAAATGCTATGGATGAAAGCATTGTCAGTGTCCTCATTGCCCTTGCAATAATAGGAAGTAAGCTTATGTATGTGCCCAGAAGATCCTAAGTAAAGGACCATGCCCCATGCTAAAGGAAGACAACACCCCCCCCCCCCCCCCCCCCCCCAGGCTGTGCCAGTCAAACTAGGGGGACCTCTTTTCTGTAGGTCAAAAATTAGGCATTCGGTGGGTACGTCTACACGTCTTAATGCACAGTAGCCGTTTTTTACTGTGCATGAAAGTGTCATGTAAAAAAAACCCACCACGCTAATCACTAATGTGCAGTAAAATAGGCTACTATGCATTAAGTGTCTTTAAAGTGTGCACTTGCAGTACTGCATGTTAGGGCAGCCTAATGTACACTTCACTACCTCACGTTGGAGGTACTACATTTAATGGACATTAGGAAGAATGCATTCATGCATGTGTATCTGTACCTGGTATGATTTCATCTTTCTGGAGCCACTGTTTCTGCAACAGTATTGGCCTGGTAAGGGTACAGTAATTTGAGATCACCTGAGGTCTTAGATAGATTTGACTATTTTTATGCCTTCACTGGAATATGGTTGTATATGGAGAAGGCCTTGGCAAGTAGCCATGCTCTAATGGAATTGTGACGTATGGTTTATTGCTTGGGGCCTCCTTAATTCTGAATGACCCTAGTTTTTGAAGGGCCTCAATTTGTGATCTGAAGCTCTACTGTGCTGTTAACTGTTGAGAGGTTTGTATTCATTTCGGGACCTATCTGCTTTATGCTAAACATTCTTGTACTGTGCTTTCACTGTATTTGGGAAATACCATTATCTCTGTCACCAGAGAATACACTGGAGTCTGGTTCCAGTCATCAAGTATTCCATCAGTAAAGTGTTGGTAACTGGAATAGGTAACAGTCCTGCTAAATCTGGTATTCAACTTTTACCAGTTGCTTGGGCTAGGTTCTGAATCATCGTCATTTTGATGGAGTAAGGAAGTTGGTCAGGACAGGACTTTGAGTATTTGATTTCCCAACTGCAGCTGCCTTCCTGGTCCTTGATTTCACTATTCTAATTGCTATGAAAACTACGTCTCAGAGATGCTCTTGTATATCTGGATGCGCTTGGATTCCTGGCCTGGGGATATGTTGGAATATATATGAAATTTCTACTGTAGCAGATCTATTTTTCCTGAAGGACAGCAGTGCATTATCCTTTTTAAAAAGCTGATCTTTAAAGTATTAAGTACTAACGGCAGACTTCCTGGGTGAAATCCTGCTTCCATTGAAGTTAATGAGTGTATTATCAGACTTCAATGAAATCAGGATTTTTGCCTCTTCTGCCTGTAAAGAAGAGATGGGACCCTAACCTGAATGACCTTCAAATATGTTGTTTCCCATGTCAAGGGACTTTGCAGGACAGTCGGTTCCCATGAAGGTATTCCTTGTCTCGGCTTGCTTGTGAGTTAAGGGAAGCAGAACTGTGGGAACATGTCTCTGGGTTTTGGAGCGATAATACAGATCACCATTCTTCAGTGGGGTCTCCAAAGGTGGACCCACATCTGTAGGTTTAGTGTTTCTTCTTACTAGGTCCTTAGTAAAAGATGTCCTCAGCTAGTGAGGGAGACATTTAGCTTTGCTCAAAGCTTATAGCACAAGTTTTCTGGCCACACTTTGAGATGAACTCTTTTATCAGAACAAGTAAGATGAAAGGTATGATCCTGAATTGGTACGTGAGTTGTCTCATGCTGAAAACTTGGTCAAGGTTGGTTGTTCAAATTCACTGTTATATTCTTCAGGCTTGAACCCCTTCCCTTCTGATGTTTTGGGTTTTGTCTGGGTGAGCTTTGCAGTAAGTCATTAGACCTCTTAAAATGAAGATAATGCATAGTTGACAGGCCCTCCTGAATTGCTTTACCTCCCATTCTTTTCCTGGCCGAAGTAGCTTGCTAGCTACTGAAGTTCAGTAGCTGTTCATCCATCCATGAGTAGGGCAGTGTCTTCATGAAGCTCCTCCCAGGTTATGGTGCTTTGAAAGCTATACATTCATGCATGAATATCTTTTAACAAAGGTGATGTTGCCATGATGGTCCAGGAGGCAAGAATTCTTGTGGGTGAAGTCTTGTATTGGATCAAGTGCATGATTGGGACACCCAGAAGCTTGCCCGTGTCTATCACGGTATCCTTTCCATCAGGCCTCTGGGAGAGAATCCCACATAGCAGATGGAACAAAAGCTGGCTTAAAACTCCATGTGTAAATGAAATATATGGGCTTCTCTCCCAGAGGCCTGAGGGGAGGATACTGTGATACGTAAAAGCTTCCCTGTGTCTGTCCCAGTCATGCACTCAATCCAATACAAGATACCACCCACAAGAATTCTTGCTTCTTAAAGGTAACGTATTTCCATTGCGAGTCATTCTGTATTTGTAGTCCCAAACTTTTTTTTTTTGTGCTTAGGAAAATGGATCTAGGTTTTAGTGGCTAATCTGTCACATTTGGTCTTGCATTGAGGATATTCACTTCTGGGATCTGTTGTCCCAGTTAGCAGTGCAAATATGCAGGATGTGTTCGGCTGAAGCCCTTCTCCAGCTGTTCACATTTAAACCTAAAACATTGTCAATCTGCACAGTCTGTTGTATTACCATCCATGGCGATGCAGCTCATCAGAGCTGGGTTTTTTTGGTGGTCTGCACTGCTAGTTACAGTGGTTGACTGGGCCAGTTTTAAACTTGGAGGTTGCATCAAGGTGCTCCTGTTCCTTGCCTGACTTAGCTAGTTAGATTTCAAGTATTTGCAAGAGGACCATGCATCTGCATTTCAGTATTTTTAGCACTCGGATTAGTTACATTTGGCCTCTTGGGTAGACTGAAAGCCCCTTTCTCTCAAGTAAATGAAACCCCAAATCTGCTACCCCCTACCCCAGACCTTGTCTTTAAGATGCTTTCTTGTGCTGTTGCCACCTGTGTAGGATTCTTGCTTTTCGAGGGCTGGCCTCTGGCCCAGCTCTGTTAGCAGAGCCCCCTCATGGGGATGGGATGTGGAGTAGCAGAAGGGTGTGCTGCACTGCCTGCCTGAAAAATGAAAGATCTGTGAGCAGAAGCCCTCTTCTTGGCATAGCTACATCTAGGGAGGGGGGAGCATATATTGAACTGTCATCTTGCATCCTCTAGGTGACATCGCTGTGTCAGCAGAACTCCTCATCGTGGACTAGCGGCATGTGAATTTTCTTGGTCCTCTTCCTTGGCTCAAATTACAGCAGGGCACTTATTTTGGATGCAAGTGATGTGTAGCTTGGCTCATTAAAATTTTGGTATAATGTCTTTGAAACAACTTTTTTTTGGTTTGTTTTTACTAGAACCATTTGTTGCTAAACAAAGACCCAAAATAAGTGAATAAATGGGGGTGTTCAACTTCCAGCAAGACTGTTCTGTTTTGAAGAGCTAGACAGATGAAGTCTTGTCATGCAGTCCTTATAGCGGGACAACTGGGGACCCCTCTTCTCGCCAATCTGCCATTGTTTTTTTGTGGGCTTTGCTTATTGTTCCTTGGCTGACTGGCTTCTACTTTTCCCTCTTATTCAGTGTCCTGAAATAAACCCTTCAGTGGTCTTTCAGGAGCATCTGGAAAGTCCCTTCATGTCTATTTAAGTGCACCATTGAGGGGTTGTGCTTATAGTCCTGAGCCTCCTGTGTATCCATTTTGATTGCAAAGTGGGAAGGGACTTCTTAAACTGTGGCAGAGTTGGCAGTGTAGCTTGATTCTCTTGTAGGAACCTCAGATCAGAAATATAATACCTGAAATGCCACTAAAAGCTTTTTCTTGTAGGTATTGCCCTTTTAGCAAGGTTGTAACACTTGCTTATGGGAGAAGTACCCTTTTCTTTTCTAGAATGAGTAAGAGGACTCTGTCCAGCCAAAATGGGTTTCTTGGGGTCATGGTGGTTGTATATGGTTTTTGTCTCTTTCGTTTGGTTTTTTTGAACCAAACGCTGAAGCGCACGATCCATACAGATGTTGGGTGAGTGAGGTCAAACTGATGCGATGCCTCCTCTGGGCATGCGCTGTGCTTGTTGCAGGGATGCACTGAACTAAAAGTAATGCACTGTTTTTCTTTTTGTTGTTGTCTTCGTTTGTTGTTCTTTTTCACATCTGTAAGCAGCCTCCGAGGCCATCATTGTATTTACGCTTCTGTGCTCTTGCCAGCCACATTCTTGAAACCCAGTTAATATACTCATTTGTGTATCTAACTAATTGTAGTCCAACTTCCTGGTTCATAAGGACAAGCTACAGATTCTGCATCATGTTGATCCTTTTTAAGCTCTGCCAGAAAGGAAGGGACCTGACCCTTTGCTCTCCCTTGATGCTGACCAGCAGCTGCTATTAATAGTAAACTAGCGACAAAGTCCGAGTCATGGCACAGGCTAAGAACTACCTTTTTTCTTGCCAGTTAAACCTTATGGGTCTTGAGTTCTTAGTACCCAAATTCAGGTTTGTGATCAGGCCAGGTAGAACACATTAGAAGAGAAGTAACAGTAGGAATTTGTTTGCCTTTTTATCTTAGCACCTGGTTGCAAGCAGTAACAGATGGTACAAGAATACATTCCTGATGCAGGAAATCTTAGCTTGAAATAAAGAGACGGGTTCAGTGCTGGCTTTTAACCTCTTTCCGTTCTAAAACAAGTATGTGGGTGTGTTTTAAAGGCATGCTATGCTAGATGGGGAAAGGGGTTCATTTTCCAAGCAATGCAGCTTCTGTAGTTGCTTAGGTACTTGCTTTGAATTTCTGTCGCCAGTCAAAATGGAAGCCAGGTTCCCATACACAGCTTATTTGGCAGACTCATTTTCCCAGGTCCTCATAGTCTAAGGAGGATTAAAATAGCTTCTGCTAATGCAGGCTGTTAGGGTTGTTGAACTTGAAAAATTTATCCATCTTATTTCTTGTGGTTTGCTCTTCCCATGAGAGAGGTAAATTTTGCTGTCAAGCCATGTTGACTGATCTGACGTGCTGTGTTGCATGGCAAACACTTAAGTATCCAAAACTTTCTCAAGTTGTCCCATAGGCAGAATCTATGGTAATCTGCTTTGAAGAGCCAGTATTGCAGAGGGTGTTGCTTTGAGTTAACGTCTAAGAGTGGTTACAAATGCTCTTAGCTACTGCAACACTCCAACCCCACTAAAAAGTTATGTTGATCCAGAAAGTGTATGAGGCAAGGATTTGATTTTATTTATGTATTTATAATATTTAAATTGCTGGTACAAACAACAGAAGAGAATTTCCATTTTTAGTAGTATGCAACTGAATTTAGATCTGTTTTGGAGAGAAGTGAAACCTTTTGGACTTGCTAGAACAGCCACTGCTTTGTTTTATGGATGTCTATTGGGGCATTAGAATTAATTTCTTATACAAAAACCCCCCAGATATTAAATACTGTACTTGCACTACTCCTGACATGCTCAAGAGATCAGAGCAGGGGCACAATGGAGTTCAGCAACAATCACATTTTGTCTGTCTTCTACTTTGGGGGAACTAACTGGACCTTTCTGTGTCCATCAACTCTTCTTCCTTTTTTCAACTCTAGGAACTTTCAAGCTTACAATAGAATTCACAGAAGAATATCCAAATAAGCCACCTACTGTTAGATTTGTCTCTAAAATGTTTCATCCAAATGGTAAGTACCCATATAAGATGCAGGTGTAGTCTGGCTTATGACCTACGCTGTTATTTGTAGAAATGGAATATTGCTAGTGTGTGCTTTACATAAAGGAGCTAGCTTTCATTCTCTGTGGTCAGCAGGCAGTTGGAGGTGTTGGCAGCACTAAAACTCTGGGAGGGAAGGAAGGATTTCCCTGGTTCACAACTTGAAGTGGAACAATGCTGCTGGATCCAAAGTGATTCCTGTCCTACTTGGCTGTGACACTTCTGGTAGAAGTTATAATCTTTTTGCCTAGCTAGAGGATTCTTCTGATCTGAGGTGTGAGATCTTCACAGAGAGCTTGGGCAGGGAGAGGTATTGCTTTCAAAATTGGAGTTAATAGAATTACAGCATTAATTGGAAGCCAGTGAACCACTTTAAGTTGCTTGATGGAATAGATGTCCATAGAAGAGCCAAAAAAGAATGCTCTGAATTGTACCCATGCTGATTTACTGTTGTACCTGTGAATTGTTACTTTATAGGCAGCAAGGTTTAGTGCTACTTTATTGATTTCTGTGAAATGCTTATCTGTCAAACATCATGCTTCAGTACCAGGGTGCTGGATAATATCAACTCTTTTATAATAACTCTTGCAGTTCAGGGAGGGGGGGTGTGTATAATAAGTTTCATGCATGCACTGTCTTTCTGAATGCAGAGAACAGTCCTGATTTTAAATAACAATCCTTCTGTTGGTTCAGGTGGGTGCATGTGGAAATAAATGTCAGATTGCATCTCAGGAGTTGTTCTTCTTTTCAGATCATTTGTGTACCCAGCAAGTTAAACAATTACCATAGTTTTCCAGGTTAATGCATGACCATGCTGTTTACATGCACTCCTAGCTACAGGAGGTTCTTTGCCCAACCTGTCCCAAATTAGTTAGGCAAGGATCACTTGAAATGCTAAGTGGCAGTCAAACAAGCCATCAGCTTTGTCTTCCTTTAAAATTCTTTGCTACTTTTCCTTGTTTGGTCACCAGTTGACACCTGCATGATTTTTGCCTTGAAATACTTCCTGCTATGTAATCCTTGCCTGAATAAGAGGGTGGATGGTAGTTTTTGCAGCTAAATGTGAAGTCTCACGGAAACAAAAAGCTTGTTGAGGCATAAGTTGGGAAACTTACTAAAGGCAGACCCTTTTAAGGTAACAATTGGGAGCAAATCTGGTTTTTGGGAGACTTATTTCTGGCTTGTTCTGACACCTTGAGTACCATTAATTTGTCCAACTACCAACAGCTGATGTTATGAAATTATGTATGAGATCAGGAAATGTCAAGTAGGAACTCATCTGGGCTTCTAAAAAACTACTCTTTGCTAAACATCATCTTTAGGGTGCGTCTAAACTTCTGTTTTCTCCCTCCCCAGTGTATGCAGATGGTAGTATATGTTTGGATATTCTTCAGAATCGTTGGAGTCCAACCTATGATGTTTCTTCTATCTTAACATCCATACAGGTAAAAAAGACATTCCTAGCACTTGCTGTAATCCTGGCTTTTGGGGGAAAGAAAAAAAAATTACACATGCACCAGGGACTAGTTCTGAGCTAAGTAGACTGTCAAAATTTGTAGACAGTGGTCACGTTTACGCATGCATTTATTGCACAGTGAGTTACCACAAAATAAGCAGTTCTTATGTCGACATCTACACGTGCAGGTGTTACAGCACAGCAACACTGTGTGGATTGTCTTGGGACTAAAGTTGGTTCCAAGTCAATCCACACATACAGGGTTACTGCTCAGTAACTACGTGGTGTAAATTTGCTACCTGCATCCTGCAGATAACAAATTTATGCCTAAGTTGGAGTAAGTCACCATGGTTACTGTGCAGTATAGGCATGCACGTGTAGACGTACCTGTACTGCGTGGTAGTTTTCAGCATAGTGTTCTATCCATGTTGCAGATTTGATCAGGATATTCAGACTGCTTTAATTTCAGAGCAGTTTGTTTTTGTTGTTTTTTTTTTGGAAAAACAGGAGATAAAGTGGTGATACTTCCTACAATGAGTTGTATATTGGGTCTTCCTAATCGGTTCTTGTTTTGAAGTGAAGGTGGTTGGTTGGTTATTTTAGTTTAGGTTTTTATTTATTAATTTTCTCTAGACCAGTGGTTTTCAGCTGGGGCGCTGCAGTGCAGGTGCTGGTGCTGCTTCAGCAGTGGGTAGATTAATGCAGCCCTGCATGCAGGCAGTTTTGAGTTCTTTGATATCCTTAACTGGCAGGTAGAGCTGGCTTGTGTTGTAGCCTGCCCTCCCCACTCTACACCAACTTGCTCCTCACACCCTGCTTCCAGGAGACACCATGCACAGTCAGACCAGAAACAGCAGAAGTATGAGCCAGCTCTCCTGCCTGCTTTAGGGTTTGCAGAGAACCCTAATGAGGCAGGAGAATGAGCATGTGCTGCAGCTTCTCTGTCTGGCTATGCACCAGACATGTAGGCCAGGTTTGCTTGCTTTACCTGGCTATACCCTCACTTGAAAGCCACTGAGGCAAGTTGAGCACAACAGTGGTTCTCAACCAGGGATGCCAGCACACTCAAGAAAGAGGTAGAGGGGTGCTGTGACTGAAAAGGTTGAGAATCGCTACTCTGGCCTAAGTTCTTGCTGTCCCATCCCATCCCCCCCAGCCCCTCCCCTGGAATTTAAAAGGGAGTGGTATTAGTTTGGTAGCAGTAACTGCATGGTGGCTTCTTGTTTTGTTTTAAATCCAAGACATGAGGAATTAATGCTTGCTGCAATGCTTGATGATGTGCAGGTATAAGCTGAAGGACCCTGCCACAACTTTTTTTTTAAGTAGTTGCTACAAAAGTCTGCAAATCCTCTAAGGAGAAATTGAAACCACTTTTTCTTTGAACAGTCTCTATTGGATGAGCCGAATCCCAACAGTCCAGCAAACAGCCAGGCAGCTCAACTATACCAAGAGAATAAGCGGGAATATGAAAAACGGGTTTCTGCAATAGTAGAACAGAGTTGGCGTGATTGTTGACCCAGGATGATGCAAATGAACACTCTGAGGAAAAAAATATATGAAGTGTCTGAGTCCTCTTCCTCCTCCCAAGCATCACTGCATTTACTTTGAACGCAAAATAGCTGTTGTGCTGTTGCCACCCTCCCCTGCTGAAGCTTCCTTGGACATCAGAAAGCACCCACTTTGAAGTCAAATGTACTGTACTTGGGTTACTTGCAAAAGAATTACTGATGCTGAATTCATTTTCTGTGGTTCCTCTCCGGTCTTAGGGCAGTATTGTGCATTTCTGTAGTGTACACTAAGCTTTTAATTGTAATTGTGTTCTACACAGTGATGCTTATGTGTAGCTTGATAAAAGGGATGTTTATATACATACACATTTTTTTTAACTGGTATTACTAAAGTGCTGATCTGTCCAGGCTGGTCATTTTACCTCTACTGTTGGTTTAGACCTCACTGCATTTGTAAGTGCTGCATGAAGAATGATCTTCATGTCCTATTCTGACTGGTCTATCAACTGTTAAACTGGGAAGGAAATCGTAAGAAAGTTCAAAAGTGGATTCCATTTCAACTAATCAGATAATGAAACTGTGGGATGCTGGCAACTTCTGCACACAATGTGCAAGATAACATGGATCACTACAGTTTTGGTACTTTATTATGTTGGGTGACAGGCAGAGTACCCCCCCTCTTTTTTTTTTTTTTTTTTTTTTTTTTTTTTTTTTTTCTTTTATTTAAATAGGGTTTTAAAGGACATAACGAAAGGGAATATTGCTGAAGTAGGTGACTTTTGTGTCCTTTCAGTAAGGCATTGAATGGACGTAATGATGTTGAGCTGTGGTACTTAACTTAAAGGTCTTATGGATGAGTTTGCTAGTGAGTGAAATATTTTTAAGGGATAAGAAAGGAAATATTAAAAATATTGAAGTTGGGATTACTCCTGGTCACAGTCCTTCCTGTTTCAGCCTTCTCCCAGATTGAACTTTGCCTCTTGGAAAGCTTTGTGTACAGAAGCATGTGGTGGGTATTCGAGTGTCTAGGAGGTTCCCGTTCTTCATAAACTCCTGTGTGGTGTGTGAGAGACTGTTCCATGCTTCAGTTACTTTCCCCTCAATTTTATGAAAGGTTTTTGGTTCTTTTTCCAGTTTTGAAAAAAAAAAAAAATCTGTAAGTCTCAACTCACATTTTTGTAAGGCTCAGTTTGTACCTTTTTGGATACAGTACATTAAGCAGCAGTGTGGGATGAAGCCTACAAGCGTGTTGTCCGCTGTTCCAGTGTCTCGTGTGCACATTGGTCTGTTAGTTGAGAAGTATACCTTTGCACAAGTAACCCATGTAAGAAAACTGTACATTTTTCAAAACTTGTAAATAAAAGTAACCTTAAATGCTTATTGTATAATAGGCAAGAGGTGTACAACTGTACTTATTTTTGTTCCAGGTAGCAGGAGGGGGTTATTTTCCAGGAGGCAGGTGCCACTTTGTTATTAAGAGCAAGCTGTGGTGGTGCTCAGGTATGCCAGCTCTTTTTAGGGCAGAGGTGGAAGCCCCCTCCATCATTCTAACCTTTTAACCCAGATCAGTGCAGTGTTTGGAAGGCTCTAATTTATCCTTCTGACATGACTTTGTAATTGCAGTTTTTTCACTTTTTGTAGAGCAGTACAAACTGGTGTCCAAAAGCAGATAGCTACCCCTGCCAATATGTTACTAAGTTTCCAAATAAACCAGATGAGAGCTAGTGCAGAGATTACAATCTACCCTACAGCTTGAAGTGATTTAACTCAGTCATCCCCCCATACTACGCGGAGGGGCAAGGAATTCATTTAATTAAACTAGTGCAAGTATGCTTATTACTCCATTATGTGAGGGGAGGGGAAAATGCTTACGTTTTCAGTAGCTGGCCTAAAGTCTGCAATGGTTCAGCTGTGCCTCCCAGGTGTCTTAGTCTCTCTCAGACAGCTGGGCCATTCATTAACTCTTCAGCCTTACTGGAATGCATGTATGTGGATAGCAGACAGCAGCAATACCCAGTTCCTAATTGAAAGTGAAGGCACAAAGCACTGAGACAAAGTATTTATAGAGTTTAACAGTTAAGCTAATGACTTGAACAAGTTGAAAATGGGGGTTCTGTATGTCCTGTTATTTTAATAGAGATTTATGGCCTTGATTTCCCTCAGCATAAGGTACTGAGCAGTAGATCAGTGTACCAGCAGGGACCTGATAAGTCATCATAAACTCTGCTCCCATCTAGTTTCTGCATCAGAAACTCTCACTCATCACACCGATTGTGAGGTCCAATCCAAGATCCTTCTCCCAACTGTGCCTCAATCTTCTCATTTATATTTCTGCTCAAATACAGTGACATGCAAGTTTTCGAATGCCCTTCTCTTACCTACACAATTAGTCCCACATTGCTTCACCTCCTACTTCAGTCTGCTTTTAAGCTTCAAAACCTGATAAGCCCAATCCAACAATATAACATGTTCCAATACACTGCTCCATGGCTAACCTAGCACCTTTCACTGTACTACAGCTGGAGTGCAGGCTGCTATGATTGAATGATCATCATTCCATAGAAATATTCAACCTGCCTTTACCATGTTGCTTGTTGCATTACCACATGAGCCAACCAAGGTCCTTTAGGTAAATCTGATATCTTGTGTTAGCAGTGCATGCTTTTGGGCACAAACACCCTTTGTCAGGCTGAGGAAGTATCTGCAGATGGTCTGTGCTCTTCCTGGATGGAGTGGTAAAGCAGCCAGAAGCCAGTATATATGCAAGAAAGCCAGTCAGTTAAGATGTAAATTGAGGTGGTTGGTAGCAGAGAGGGGAGGAAATGAGAATAGGTAAAAAGTGGAGGAGTTACCTGGGGAGTCAGATGTTAGGCAGGTTGTGTCTCATAAATCCAATGTCTATATTTAGTCTGTGATTTTTTTGTATCCAGTAGATGGATGAAGTGAAGTTCATAGGCTCATCTGTGGAAGGTATCTGGCATCAGCCAAGACACATCTGATTATCAAAGAGAAATTGAAATGCAGTACTGCTGTTCATACCTTAGTACACCCTGCCCTCCTGAGTTTCTGCCAGTCACTGGCAATAAAAGATGAGATTCTTTCAGCCATCAGCAACAGCCAGAAAGTATGGCATCAAGAAGTGGCAGCCAATCAGTAAGAGATCGTCTCTCTAAGTTTTCAGATGACCAGCAATGAGAAGGAAGAATGCACAACACTAAAGTGGCAGACAAGGTTCTTTGGGTAAATGTGGTATCTTATTAGACAAGGGTTGTCAACCGAGAGTATGCATACCCCCTTGGGTACTGGGGAAGGCCCTAGGGGGTATATGCAGGCAGGGAACAGAGCGCTGCCATGCACCATCCCACGCTGCTGTGCAGGTGCCCACCCAGCTGGATGCAAGGGAAACTCACACTTTGTTCCACACCCCCATGAGCAGACACTGGAGGTACACTTCCAAAAAGGTGGAAAACCCCTGCCCTAGGGGGTACACAGGCAGGTGGGGACAGAGCACTGCCACCCACTACCCTATGCTGCCACCTCCCAGGAGCAGGGCTGGGGAGGAGGGCAGCAGTACCCCTCTGCAGGCCACATCGGCCAGGCTGGGGGGGAGCTCACATGAGGCCACCACCCCATACTGCCCCCACTTCACATCTGGCTGTGTGCCACCCCTCGCTTCCAGCTGCCGGGGGTACACTTATTTAAAAAGTTTGAAAACCCCTGTATTAGACCACCTAAATAGTTGGAAAAATTGTTCTTTGCAAGCTTAAAGAGACATCTCATTTACCCAGAGAACCTTATCTGCCCGTGTCCTTAGACCAACACAGCTACAACCAACAGTCCCAAAACAACAGCGAAGTGCAGATTTATTAGTTTTCAGTACCATTCACATTGTGCTGGGTATGGGGCAAAAATTAAGATAATTCTGTGGGGTAGGGACAGAGGAAAAACATCTAACAAGAGATGTACAAAGGCATGTGGACCAATTCCTTACCTCAGAAGATGAGACCCTGGTTGCTTAAGCATTAAAACAGGCAAGACTAGTGAAAGCTCTGTATATACTGCAGATTAAATTACACTGACTGCTGTGCCAGCTAATACCAGATCAGGAAGTGTAGGGGGTAGCAGCTTTGATTGACCACCCACTAAACCAGGGGTGGGCAATTATTTTGGGCAGAGGGCCACTTACTGAGTTTCAGCAAGCCATTGAGGGCCACATGACAGGCAGCCCAGGGCAGATCAATCAATTTTCTAAATTTTTTAGGGGCCCCATGGGCTGGAGAGAATGGACCGGCAGGCCGCATCCTGCCCTGGGCTGCATTTTACCCACCCCTGCACTAAACCAAAGGAAATACACACACAAGTCTTGCCTGCAGCAGAATATAACCACTTTGTAGGAAGTTTCATGAAGACAAGTTCCTGGTTCCATGCATCTCAGCCTTCCCCAAAAACAGGTTACCTACTGGCATTTCAGGTGCTGATTCTACAACGCTTGATGTTGCCAAGCTTTAGGAAGCTGCTGGAAAACCAGTGGCTGCTTGGACTGGTATGGGGTACAAAGCAGACCTCACTTCCCTCAGTGCCATCTACTACGTGACACAAGTTCTTAAGAGCACAATTCAGAGGGAGAGGAAAAGGCTGGCTGATGCATGAACAGAAAGAGAGCACGCTTTCAAGTTTCTGCTCCTCAGGGAGGGGGGCCTAACCTGTTCCCACATATGGGGCTCCAGGCAGCGCAGGTCCGGGAAGGTGGGCTCAGGAGAACTACAGAGGTCCTTACCTGTAACTTGAGTCCTGTGGGATCAAAATACTGTACTACAGGTCACCAGGATCTTCTGCCATGTCAGCTGGGCCACTCCCTCTCCTCAAAGCTGAGGGAATGAAAGAGCAACCCAGGAGGATGAACTGACCTGGAGGATAATGTAAGCAGACAGTGAAACAGATACGGGCAACAAGAAAAGGGAGACAGACAGACTGACACACAGGGCTGGTATTTATTACAAGGGGCTGAGGGAAGCAGAGATATGAGCTGGTGGAAAGCCAGCAGGTGGCTGACCCACCAGAAAAAACAGCATGTACAGATGCATTTTTGTTGGTCCAAGACTGATTTTTCTCCCTCTTATTAGTTTTCCCCACATTTTCCAAGCACGGCTCCGGCAGTGCTACCCAGGAACGCTCCCAAAGCAGAGCAATGCCAGAAGGGTTTTGCCCTGTGAATGGCAACATGCACAAGTTGTTCTTTAGACCAGCCTGTTCCCAGTACCTAGTCCTGTGGCATGGCGTGTCAGCCCTGGATAGACTCCACACTTAAACCACATGCCAAAGCAGCATGAGAACACTTTACTTGTGAATCTCCACTTGACATATACAAGCCCGGGTACATTGATTGAAAATAAATCATTAGGCACAGATCTGATTTTGCTCAGGGTTAAAAAAACCTATATTAAATATAAGTAAAAAATAAATTATATTGTCATCGCTCCACAAGTAACATAGGCATCTCTAACACAGGGGCTGCATTCACCCTGGTTCTTGTAATGTCATAGATTCATAGATGTTAGGGTCAGAAGGGACCTCTATAGATCATCGAGTCGGACCCCCTGCATAGGCAGGAAAGAGGGCTGGGTCTAGATGACCCCAGCTAGATGCTTATCTAACCTCCTCCTGAAGACCCGCAGGGTAAGGGAGAACACCACCTCCCTTGGGAGCCCGTTCCAGACCCTGGCCACTCGAACTGTGAAGAAGTTCTTCCTAATGTCCAATCTAAATCTGCTCTCTGCTAGCTTGTGGCCATTATTTCATGTAACCCCCGGGGGCGCCTTGGTGAATAAATACTCACCAATTCCCTTCTGTGCCCCCGTGATGAACTTATAGGCAGCCACAAGGTCGCCTCTCAACCTTCTCTTGCGGAGGCTGAAGAGGTCCAGGTTCTCTAGTCTCTCCTCGTAGGGCTTGGTCTGAAGGCCCTTAACCATACGAGTGGCCCTTTTCTGAACCCTCTCCAGGTTATCCGCATCCCTCTTGAAGTGCGGCGCCCAGAATTGCATGCCAATGTCATGCTTCTCCAAGGTATAAAGCAGTGCTTCAAGGTAAAAATGCTCTGGAATTATCTACAAGTATCATTAAGGTGCATTCAGCAGTTCGGAGTTTGGGAGACCAGAATACTTATAGTAGAGCTCTGCTAATAAAACTACTGTTAAAAGCTGGTTTGGAGGTTTCTCCACATAACACAAGATGGACACATCACTTTACTTTGCTATATAATACTCTGAAATAACTGCAGCATCACACAAAAATGTACATACGAAAGGTAGCAAATCCTGTTTTTCCAGAAATAAAACTGTATTTTTATTGTCATTAATACCAACTTTACATATTTTTTCCTCCAAACTGCATTTTCTTTCCTTTTTTTGTTTTGTTTGTTCGTTTGTTTTTAAATAACAAAGGCATATTTATTTCCTGGGTCCAAAAAGACTAAGGAAGCTATCATTTTAAGTGGTGTCAAATTCGCTGTGGTTGGACGTGCATTTTTTGCTATTACAAAACTATTAAAATATGGAGGAACCGAAGACACGTACAGGAACAGAACTATTGGCATCTGGGTTGTGCTAATATAATTGGACAGAACTTGGCAGGTTCTAATTTTCTAATAACATTTTCAAAATTAAAATGAGCAACGGAGAACGTTTTCAACATGAATATGCCCCACAACAAGGAAATGCAGCATCTCTCTAATTCAGGAGCTAGGAAATCAGTCTTTGTTTTGTGTTCACTGGTAAAACTGGGCACCATGCATCTCAGTTTGCTTGAGGCATAATAAGCTCATAATGCCCAACCTGGCCCTCTTGCTTCAGTTGGTCTAATAAGTCTTCCTTGCGCCTCTTTCTGCTTACTACCAAGTATCTATCATGACCCTGCCCGTGCGATTTACTTTTAAGCCCATATTTTTGGGCAATTTGATGTATTTGCTTCCGTTCATCATTGTTAAGTTCTGTCGAGAACGTCAAGTCAACGTTACTCTCCGAGCGAGCGTAATTTCGGATGATCTGCTCAATATCTCTCTTGGCAATTTTGTTTACCCTTTCCACATCAAGGCCAAGTCCTTCCCTTTTAAACTGCTCCTTCACTGAAATAGGCTCTCGGATCCCTTCACCGTCTTTCCCAAGCCCACCACCCGTCCAGCCCATTTTTCTTAGAATCTGATTCCCAATGTTATCTTCTTTTATCTTCTGTTTGAAGGCCTCTTCTGCTGAGCGGCCCTGGATCTCATTTCTTGAGATGACATCTTCGATGGTGCCTTTCTTCAGGTTGTTGACGACAGTGGGCTGCGTCTTTTTGAGTATTTTCACGGCTTCCTCTGCTGCCTCGTGCTTCACAGATTTCTTAACGCCGATGGCTTCCGCAATGAATTCATTTTCTAGCATCACCTTGCACTTCCACCGCATGCCCGTCATCCTTTCGAAGACATACTCCACAGTCATCTTGTTGAACTGGGCAGTGTCATTAAGCGTACACACGGGATTGTTAGAGTTCTCATAGATGACCAGGTCCTTCAAGTCCTTCTTCTTGCCACCCCTGGATGAACAGCCCACTTTCTGAACCTGGGTGGTTTTGATAGCTGTCATATTGGACTGGGTCTTTTGAAGAATTTTCAAAGCTTCATCTGCTGCGGCATGTTTGCTGGTTTTCTTAGTGCCATACCCCTCTGCCAAGCAATGGTCTTGTAAATACACTCGACAGCGCCATGAGCGGTTGGGCATCTGGTCATACTTGTATTCAATTGACATTTTGTTAAATGAAGCAGAGTTGTTCAGTATCCCGATCGCATCACTGGCATTTTCTATGAGGACAAAGCTAGTCCAGTGCTTGTTTGAGTTAGAACCACTTTTCAACAACTCAGAGCCAGGCTGAATAGGTACACAATCTCGGTTGGCAGCTACGAATTCATCGTATGGTTTGAGAGCAGGAGGAAACTCTGGGGGAGATGCATCAACCTCACACACGACTAAGTCCTCCTGATAGCTATGTTTGAACTTCCGCTGAATAACTCTCACTTCGACGGTCTTTTGCAACAGCTTGACTGCCTTTTCTGTGGCGCGATCCCTGGATCCATTTTTGCTGCCAGCGTAACCAGTGGTTAAGTAGACATTGAGGCATCTCACTTCGCAAGCAAAGCCATCTGTGAGAAGCTTCTTACTTTTTGGGAGATCAGCAGGAGCAATTTCTTTTAAAGGAACATAAATATATTCAGGATTTGTCTTACAGGCCTGAATTGAGCGAGTCAACAGATAAGTATAATTAATTTTATCAGTCCCAATGTTTGCATCTGGGTTAGCGAGATTTTTCCAAATAGCAGCTGAGAGTTTATCAATAAAATTCTGCTTCAATGCTACAACTGATGGGGAGAAAATTTCAGAGGAAGTCTGAGCAGCTAAGGGGGAGGTTGAGAGTTGTGTAGTATCATTGAAGGTAGTGTCCATACTGTTTAAAATCTTACTGGTACCTGTCGCCTGGCTACTTCCATAGCCTAAACCCACTGAGTTAGAGGACTGGGGATCTTCTTCTAGAGCACTGAAGCTGTTGAAAGCCAAGCTAGTACAGTTTTCTGCTGGCTGTGATGCGCTGTGTGCATCTGTATCCTTGTCGGATTCCTGTGTTTGGTTGTCTGAAGGATCTTCCTTTCCTCCAACTTTCTCATTACTGGCTACAAAGTATATGGGTTCAAAACGAGGTCTCACACGGAACCTGGGGGGAACTTTTTTGGGAGGCTCTGGACCTAGGAAATGAATAAAATGTACAATGTTACAAACAAATTCTCAGAGAGGAAGGCAATGCTTCAGTATGATCACCTGCAGTCACCAACCAGCAAGCTTTTGAGCATGGAATTCCAACTGCCCAGTCACAACAACAAGGATTCTGTGTGCAACACGTGTGCCACAGATAAAGTGTCATCTGTGCAGGTTACAGTAGAAGCAGTCTCAATTCAGTTTTTCACATGACACTTGGTGGGTTTTGTAATACTTACAGCACATAAGCCGGAGGGACACAGGGATCATTTAGTCTAACCCGTGTGAAGTTACTCAATCAATCCACAACATTTCATCCAAGTAACTCCTGCAGTGAGCCAAACAGCTTGTGGGAAAATAACAACTGCACTGAGACCCTGGAGACCTTGGCTCTGTTCCCAGCTCTGCTACTGGCAAGTCATTATACCCATCTTGGCCTTTTCATCTGTGAAACAGGATGAAGATATGGGCCCTTCTTTGTAGCATTATCTTCTAGTGGTGAAATATACTTTACAGCTGTATTTTCCACAGACAACCAGTCTTGAGTGGAAGGTGAATAAAAGCCAAGTGTGGTCTTGTTGCAAAAAAACAAAAAGGCCAATAGTATACTTAGTGTCACTGGGAGGGAAGTGATTTTTCCACTCTATTCAGCACTGGCGAGACCTCACCAGGAGTACTGTGTCCAGTTTCAGTCCCTCCACGTCAAGTATGATGTGGAGAAACGGGAAAGAACCCAGCGGAGAGCAACAAAAACAATTAAAGGCCTGGGAAGCATGATTTATGAGGAAAGGCTGAAAGAGCTAATGTAATTTCATCTGGAGAAGACTGAGAAGGGATTTGATAACAGTCTTCAAATACCTGAAGGACAATCATAGTGAAGATGAAGATGGCCTTTTCTTTGTGGCCACAGGGGACAGGACAAAGAGCAATGGCCTCAAGCCACAGCAGAGAACATTTGGAGATAAGAAGGAACTTTCTGACCAGGAGGGTGGCCAAACATTGGAACAGCCTACTTAGAGAAGCTGTGGAATTGCCATCCCTGGCAATTTTTAAGAGCCGGCTGGACAGACTTGGCTGAGATGGTTTAGCCAGGGATGATCCTGCCCTGAGCAGAGGGCTGGAGTAGACAATCTTGTGAGGTTCCTTCCAGCCCTACTTTCCTATGATCCTATGTCAAGAAATGATAGACCATTGGAACATGCTTCCCAAAGTCACTGTGCCTCATTTCTAACTTGAACTGGAACCAAGGCACAAACATACTTATGTGAACAAGTACTGCAAAGCTGCACAGAATTTGACAGCTGGAAGTCTAAAGAACACATGACTATTCTGATTACAAGAAAGTATTTCACCCCCATACTCCAAAACTAGGGATCAGTAGCTTCATCAGAGAATGAAAAGTCCACCTCAAGTCCACAGAAAAGCTGTTTCATTCAACACTAATATGTGAAACTACGACATAGGTAAGGCTACTAGGTAGGTACAGGCACCAGCATAGTAGCTTCTGTGGTTTAAAATGTTTGGGTCCTCTGACATTCTAGTGGTTTGATGGCTGTTTCCCATTTTTGGTGTTTGTTGTTTGCTTGTCTGAGAGCAGTGCCTAAAGGCTCTGTCCAAGAGAAGGACCTGGCTGTACTAGATGCTACGTGCAGACACACAGTAAGAGGTACCCTCCCACACAGCTTGCAACCTGAACAGAAGAGATGAAGGAAAAAAGTGGGATTAAAGTAACAGTTTTATGACTTGGCTGCTGGGGAACCAAAGCCCAGAAAGATGAACCAACTCGCCAGAAGCTGAGGCAGGCTATTTGTAGCAGAGCTGGACACTGTACTACCCACACTCACTTGGCCAGCTGCCATTTCCTCCCCGCCCCACAACTGCAGCATCCAGGACTGGCTTCGGAAGTCACGGGAGCGTTCTGCTCTGACGGCCCTGCGTTCCCAAGACCATAGGTCAAAGACACCACTCTCTGCAGCTGCCTCTAACATGCAGGCAAATATACTCACTGGAAGGTGCAGAATTTGCAGAAGGTAGAGAACAGGGTCGCTTCCGTGCCTTGGCACTAGGCACCAACTCGAATGATGGCATCTCCCCAATATCAATGCCTTCGGCCATCTTGAGGACTTTCTCCATGACCTGTGCGCCATACCTGCGTTGAATTCAGCACAGACAGTGTTAGCACCTGCCACACCAGGTTCTGTGCTGCCAGCTTCTTAAAAGCACCTGCATGGCAAGCCTCAAGCCTGCTGAATGCCACACTCCTCTCAGCCCAGGCTTTGGGATTTACACCCATGGAGATACTGAGGACTTTCCATCCCACACTAGAAGAAGAAGGCCTTTAAAAGAAAGATACATGTCAGATAAGGTGATGTTCAGACTAAGGAAGAACTAGAGCTGAAAAGCCAGAGTTGAAAAGCCAGCTGAGATATTACAAGCAAACCCTGGTCAAAGCATGGCCTGGTTAGCTGTCCAGTGCAGGACTTGCAGTGACTTTGCTGGTGCCAAGGAGCAAAGCTGCAAGCTGGCCCTGCTCCTGTAACTGGTCCCATGCGCGCACACCTCTGAGGAACTCCTCTGAGGGATGGGAGCTGCCTGCAGGGCCCTGCTTTCAGGACTGTGGCCTTGCACAAAAAAAAATGACCATGGGAATCAACAAGCCAACTACTTCCAAACAAATGCCAAGTGTGTAAGCAGCCAATAGGCTCCCTGTAATTCCTTACCAGGGATCCTGTTTTTCTCCATCAAAAAAAAAAAAAAAAAAAATCACAAAATCTGATAAAAACACAAATTCTCCGATTTAAAAAACCCCAAATCCGCAATTAAAATGAAATGCCACTAATACACATACACACACACACACACACACTATCGACTGAACACAATGTTTTATCGATATATTTACAATTTTAAAGCAATTTGGAAGCCTACCAGTGCCTCAATCACTGTAATAAAATAAATTCTAAATCCCTATACATTTTGGCATTTGATTTTGGGTTTTTTATCATGGAAAATCGGAGCTCTCTCTGCTCCCTTTGCCCACCAGGATGCAGGTCCAGGCCCCTTACTCCCAAGCCACAATCCCCAGCCCTGCTAGGGACCCTCACAGCCC